CAGTAAACCTGTTGGCTGGACTTCTGCTTTGTCTTCTTAGCAGTTTGTTGAATGCCCTTTCCTTTTATTTGGGTCCTCGCCTTGACAAAGTGTAAGAGGATAGCCCCGCCTCACCTTCGTATTGACTGAGTTCAAACCAGTTCAGTTTCATTTATACATCACCAATTCACAACAACAGTGGCCTGAAGGTAATTTATATTGTTAGGGAAGATCCTAAAATACTGGTGAAAGTGGAGAGGAAGAACCCTCTTTTAACAAGAAAAGAGACCTCCAGCAGAAGCAGGCTCAGGGAGTGGCGGACATCGGCCATGACCAGTTGGCAGGTCAGGGGAAAGAACAGAGAGAAATGAACATGGAGGGTAAACAGATCATGGACAGGAGAAGAAAAAAATGTAAGGTGTGTAATGGTGACATTTAAACACAACAGGAGTGGAGAGGAGGAAAGAGGAAAGGCAGGGGTTTTACACTGATCTGGGAACAGTTCAAGTTAAACACAGGTAGGTTTTGTCTCTGCAAACGTCTTTCTGCTGAAATCCTGTGTTAGTTTTCACCACTCCTGTCCTTTTGTGTAAAAGTTTACTGTCGCTATAGTTCACAGGAGTCCTGAAGCTTTAGAAAATGCTTTTCCAGACTGATGGATGTCACTGACTTTGTTTCTCAGCTGCCTCTACAGATCGCGAGATGATGCTTAGCTTTTTTACACCACTGTCCCCCCAAAAATGACGGCTCTGAAACAACATGGAGTAAGAATGAGCCAGTATGTAGCGCAGCAATCCCAATGCTGAACACACTGTATGCTGAATCTCCTGTTTTGCGATTAGGACACCGATTATTTCTACCTTATTTTGCATTTGCATATAATGAATTACATTTAAAATTTCCCCTGTGGCTCAGGCTTATCATCTCTGTGTTACAGAATGAATCTACTGCCTTCTGAAAAGAAGGCAGTAGATTCATTCAGTAGATGTTTAGAAATCCTAGCTTCAATCTGCTTCATCAGACATCACCACCAATAAGTAAACAACTTAATCCACCAATGAGGCCGACAGTAAAACACAAAGAACTACGAGTTGCACTAAACAGAGTCCCGTTAATCACAGTCTTTTGTATGCAGGGCTGTGTTATCTGGTGAGTTATCTTTCTAATTATAAAATCATGACCAGGCTAGAGGAGACAGAGTGTCCTCGCCCTGATTCTCTGCACAGATTCACATCTCTGAGCCAAATGGCAGTGTGGTCACAGCGTAACAAGGTCCAGTGTGTTTACTTAGACATTTGATACATCGACAGATGGACTGTGACCCAAACTGTACGACTGCTGCAGGAATAAGGGTGCTGTTTGAGAACAAAGTTGCCTAAACTCCAGCCACAAGGTCTCTAATATTTGGTTGCTATAGTGCATCATAGCAGGTGGGCAGCAAGCCTCATGTGAACAGCTTTGATCCTGTGGCTGGTCTACACCTCAGAAATGTCTGCGGCCACTTCTCCCTTCTGTGCAGCCTCAAGGCACAGCCAAACAAATGGGCTGCTGCTGAACACCCGCTCTGTTAACGCCTCCTTCTTTACAGTATGAAAATCCAGTCTTCCCAGAAACGTGACTGAAAAAGGTCTGCTGGCTATCAAATTAAAGCACAAAGGGTAAAACGCTACTCCAAAAAAAAGCCTTGAATTCATGGATTTGTTTGGATCTTAAAATAATTCAGGACTGATAAATATTTCAGGTGCAGACGTCATAGTTTTATCTTTTACCTCTGTTTGGGTTCTCTGACTTTTTACAGCCAGGGGGAAATCTTCCAAGGACTTTCTGACCATTTTAAAAGTATTTTAACTGGTTTGGGTTTAGCGTCACCTGACACAGAGGACTGATTCACATATTTCTCTGTAGTTTCTCTGTAGTTGCCAGCTGTGCAGCACCTTTATTGCGCTTTGCGGACTGATAACATGACATATCACATATCAGAGTTTTTATTAGCTGAAGGAGGAGATAACAAACATGAAAGCTCTTTTAGCTCTTTCTATCCTGCAAAAAATGAAGAAAATTGTGGCAGGGGTGTTGTCTTTGGCTCCACTGCAGGGGAGGGGTGGTGCAGAGGACTCAAGGGGCACAGTGCCCGGGAGGTGGATGGAGCAGGTGGAGATATTTACTCTAATGAGGGTTTTTCCTTCTTTTATTGATGGGGGGGAAGTGAGCTGGAGAGTCAGACTTAAAAGCACTGTATACACTAAAATAAACGACAAAAAATACAATCTGAATCTGGTGTGGGTCCTCGTGTGTTCACAAAAATATTCTAGCTTATTACATTTTTTGAGCTGAAATTGTTTTAAAAATTTTCTATGTTCAGTTTCATAAAGGCTTAACTGACAATTATTATTATCTAATCTTATCGAGACAGATTCCTGAGCTGGGACAGAAATATAATAAATAGTGGGATAGTGAGAGTTGGAGCCTGGTTTTACTGTAGTGAGTTTTCAGATTTTCTCAAATGTATCAGAGAAGCTGCATACAGTAAGTCTAGTTTCTCAAGTTTAAGATGTGCATCTGAGTCAATGTTTGTGTTCAGAAGAATTAGTCTGTGACGATACACTTAACCAGAATTAGTTGTCTTTCCTTGACTAACAAAAGCAGCCAGATCTAGCCATTTGAGAAAAACATAGATAAGATAAAATAACACCTCACATTTAAAAAAAAATAAATTTTTACTACGATACTGGTGATTTTTTCCTTTTGAGGGCAAGGCCAAACCCGGAGATGGATTTTAGACTTAGCAGAAAATCAGCCTCTGATGATGATGATGATGATGATGATGATAATAAGAGAATCATCACAGTTGTGGTTCAGGCTCAATGCTGCCCCCTTCTGGAGCTGAATGTGAATCACCACCAAACTGTATTTACCACAGTCTGCTGGGTCTTCTATCTAAATTCGTGAATCTTGTGCCATATGAAGACATCTCTACCAGTAACTGATGATGAAAAGGTGAAAACTGGAGGATAAAAGTTCACCAAAATGTACTAAACAAATGTGTGATGGTTCAAATTCCTCGCCCAGACCTTCTTCTTCACCTTTAAGTCAGTGACCGGGGTCACAGTGACGTTTTCTGTGTAATCACCTCTGCGCTGTATTTGAGTTCTTACTCAGTCTTTTGTTTTAATTTCTTCTCCTGCCTTCTGTGTTATCATTTTTCTGTGTTGGTTGTTTGCCTTTTGAGTATTTCCTGTTTTAGTTTGAAGTGAAATGTGTCATGTTTTTTAGTATGTTAGTCCTCTCCGTGGTGGAGGGGGTTTGTGCCTTAGTGATCCCAGGAGTTATGTTGTCTCGGACAATTTGCCTCTGGTCACAGGTCCTGGGTGAGGAGCCAGATTCATATGATCCTGTTCAAGAGGAAATCTTGGATCCAAGTGATCTCACCTGGAGCAGGAACACTGGAGCGCCACCCTGCAGCCTGGCCTGGTGGAGAAAAAGTGCTCATTGCCTGAATCAGCTACGTGTCCACCACCCCCCTGTCTTCCCATCACCTCCTGAAGGAACACAAAAATGGGTCTGGAGTTCCTTAGCAGTTTGATTCTTTGCTAACTTTCAGTTCATGTTGGTCTTTCGGCTTATCAGCTTCTAATAAAGCTACATTTCAAAAGAGCCAAACATTCACACCACTTAATCGAACATGCATGTGGGAACAGTTTTGATTTCTTCATCCATATTTACAGGTTTCACTGAAAGGATCCAGGATCATCTCATCACTGCAGGTTTTTCTTTGGCCTC